AAATTTTATTTATTTTTTGTAACTTTGAACTACAAAAATGTTAAACAGCGCAGCGCAGCGCAGCGCACTGCACGCAACTGCAATGATAAGTCAGTCAAATAAATTCTGTCGCCAATTTCACACAAATATTAAAAACAAATATTTGACACACTTTCTTGTCTACACACTTATTTAACACTTAGCACGATACGACATATTCACTATTTATTTTTATACTAAAATTTAAAATAAAATTTAGAATAAACACAAAAAAACTAAATGTCAAAATGCAAAAACTGAATTAATTGGTGCCAAGTTTGGCGCGTGTGTCTACGCTCGCTACGCTCGTACCACCTTTACAATTTTACAAATAAGAGAGAAGGTTAACCTTAATTAATTTTTGAGTTTAACAAAAAAAAGTTTAATTTTAAGTAAATTTTCATAAAAACTTAATTTATCAAAATAAAAAAAGCATTTTTTATCATATCTTCAAGATACAAAGCTCAGTAATTCACTCAGTCATACAGTAAAGTTTTTTGCAATCCGCGACTGATACTCTTCTTGGTGTTATTAAGAACTGGTCAAATTTTATTAACATTCTTTTGAATAGACTTTGGACCGATATTAAAATAATCAAAAATATATTTTAATATAAACATTTTAAACATTTTAAACATTTTATTATTATTTTTTTTCTTGTGGGGGTTTTCGATCATTTTTACTATGACTCCATGGAGCAAAAATGCGAATAAAAATATTTCGATTAGGTACTTAGAAGTAAGTGATTGATTACATTCCTCATACAAATACAATATAAGCAAGCATTTAAGATAAGCTCAGTGCTTTTCATCAAACTGCGCTATACCAGCTAATAGCACCAGACTTACGGATAAAGCAGCTATGCAGCTATTTCGCTATTTCAACGAAAGAGTTAAGCCAACATAGTAACATATACGAATCTTATCACTTAACTTATCACTGGCTTAGTTGTTTTTGTTGCATGCTCATGTTAAGTATTTCGCCAAGCCGAGATAAAATACATTTAGACAAGATAACTAGCTATTGTACTATTCTATAGACCATTTTTTGTTTTAATTATTTATAATATTTTATATTAGAAATCAATTTGTTTTATAATATTTTCAAACAGCCAACGGACAGACATATGTATGTTGGTAATTTGTAGAAAGGAATATTTTCGAAATTGAAAATAAAATGGAAATATTTTCGAAATTGAATTTTACTGGTGCCAGTAAAAACCAGTAAAAAGCACTTGAGAAGTGAACACTTTATTACCGCGAAGACAGCCAAAAAAAAACAAAAATCTTTGTAAGAAATGCCGTAAGCAAGTTTGGAAACAAATGCAAACAGAGATAACCGGCAATTGTTGTCTTTTTAAATTAAAAATATGAATTTTACTTAACAATGATTTTAAGCAGGCTAAACTAGACATTCAAAAATTTTACTACCAAAATTAGAGTATAATTCATTAAAATGCTAAGTCACGTTTATTATGTAGACGACAATTTTGCCGCTTTAAAGAAAGCATGGAGACAGTCTTTTATTTATATAAATGACTGAAACATTTGTTGTTTGGTTATTTAGTCAAAATTAAATTATTAGTTTACATTAGTTTAATTTACGGAGGCTTGTGCTAAAAAATTTTAAAATTATTCATAACAAGAGTCAATTTAGAGCAATTTATTAGAGCAAAACAAAAATTTTGTAAAAAAAAATAATTTATATAAAATTTCATATTAAATATCAAAACACTTGTTTATATTATTCGAGTCTGCTCTAACTGTGCCTTTAGATATCTTTTTATGCACGTTCCTGTAAAGCCTATTGCTTCTAATGGCAATATTCAGCTTTTATTTCTATCTCTCCCCATCTCCTACTCTCTACCTTTTTGTCCCACTCTTTCCGACAAAACTATCATATTGTCGGAAAACTAGATGTAAAAGTCAATCGTTGCTAGAGATGGTTAAGGGATATATTTTGGTCGATTACGTTAACATTACCAAGGAGCAAATCCATTATAACAAAAATAAAATCTAGAAAAGAGCGATAAATTCCGCATACGCTCTGAAAAGAAGTAAAACTATAGCTCGCAGAAATAACGCTCCAATATAACTCGTAGGGTTCTATAGAAGACAAGGAAGATTTTAAATAATAAAAGTAAGAACGTTTCTAAAGGAATAAATAATAACATGGATAATCGTAATTTATTTGCTTTTAATATTCTAAATATTAAATGAGTTACGAAGAGGATCTAAAAAAGTTGAAATTTGGGTTAAATAATATTAGATACTTATATAATCAGGCCTATTCTGAATCGCAAGGGAATGCGAGTTTGTTCCCTGTTCCCAATTCCCCTATTCTGAATCGCATGCGAATGTGAGTTTTTTCCTAATTTTGCACAAATTCTCTCGCTACCAAATTGTTGGGGAGACAAGTTAAAAAAGTATTAAAAATAGTTTAATTTAATATAAAAGTAACTGAAAATGATCAGATTTTTGAATATATTTTAATAAAATTATTATTATAATAAAATTATTACAATTAATTTAATATTTTCAAAGTTTTATTTTTTGATTAGTTTTCCGAATATATTTTAATAAATTTAATATAACAAAATTTTCATTTAATATATTTTATTAAAATTATTATTTTAATAAAAGTATAACAAATTTGAAATATTTAAATTTTTATTTATTTATTTTATTCACACGGGTTTTTTCCACTAATTAAAGTGTTAACTATTGTTTTTAAAACAATAGAAAAATGAAAGGAAACCAAATTCTGAAATAAGTGGATTCCTAGAATAAGTTAAAATAAGTTAAAACTGCAATTATGTTTAGGTAAAACATTGCTTCTTTTTTATTGTAAGATCTTTATAGGTATAAACTAGTATTAGTTCATTAATTTAAGCATGAAGGACATTTCTATCTTAATTATATAAAAAAAGTAAATTATAATTTACGCAAATTTTGTATAAAAGCAGTGAATGTTTGAAAATAAAGACATTGAAGAATTGATATCATAACGTAAGGTTGTTTTTTAATTAGTTTAAAAAAGAGTTAAAAATTTAGAATTTAGCATTTAGCATTTGGTTTATTTTGCTCATGCATAATTCTTTTTATATATTTATTTTACTCATTAAAATAAAAGTTTCTAATTGTTTATTATTTACTCATAAAATAACTTATATTTATTTCCGATAATTTGTGCAGCAAACAAATAATGCGATTTTTACATTTAAATCAACATATGATACGCAATTCTTTTCTTTGTTTTGCTCATTTTCTCACTTTTCGTCATTAAAAAGTGGCATGGTTGCCAAAATTTAACAAAACAAATTTGAAATTGTTGTTGTTCACGAAACTGCTGTCTCCCTAGCGATTCAGAATAAGGGAGCTGTGTGTTCGGGAACAGCGTGCGAATAGGGAGTTTTTTCGCTGGGAGTATTCAGAATAGGCCTGATAATAACAAGCTAAAATAAGGATTTCATCAAAATATATGACGTATTCAATTCAAATAAATTTAATTTCGTAAATTAACTAACATTAAATTAATCAATAACGTTAGCATTATCCTTAAAAAATCAGTATGCTACCTCATTAGGTGTAAGCTAAGGGGGTTGCTTAAGTGTGCAGACAAAGTAATAGAATAATAAAACAAATAAACACGAGTAGCAGGATTCATGACAAAAGTTAAATGGCACAACAATCATCTATTCATAAAAGATAAGGTCCGCATTTACACGACAGATGCTACTGACCCATATTTATATATTCTACCGAAACTAGGGCGCTCATATCCGTAACTGAATTTGAATCTGTCTGTGGTATCTAAGGGTAAAATTGTGTACCTGGTGATCGATAGTAGGTATCAATCGATAGCAAAGCAGAAAAAATGCGAAAAAAATAGAACAAACATGGTGAAGTATGGAAAACTACTGTTTATTCGAAATCGTTATGATCAATGAAAATATATCAGATCATAAAAAAAATATATAAATATATTATTAATTGCTATATATCATTTTATACAACGTATTCATCGATATTATTATTGAATGAATGTTGTATTCATATATGTATTTTTCTTATATTAAAAAAATATCATATGATTTTTGGGTATACTGTATTCTAGAAGAGTGTCTCGCCGTATTGAAGTTATTGGAAATGAGAAAAGAGTGGCAATAATGAATAAATGATCAATTGCTGTTTGTGATGGAGTAGCCGTAACCTCCGATCTTTGAACGGATAATTTTATAAGAAAAAATTTTTTATGCCCTACAATCAATTTCGAGAAAGATGATCAGCTAAAAGAATTGACTTTGGGGATTTCGAATGGTGCACGGCTGAAAATGTTTTTAACAAACAGCTTTTGAGAAGTCAGAAGGACTAATGCCTATATTTGAGCACAGTAAAAAATTAGTAAAATACTTTAAGAAGACAAATCTGCAGCATATGTTAACAGTTTTATTAAAAAAATATTGTTTAACACGTTGAAATTCGTATTTATGTTTGTTTAAATCTATTTTAGAAAATTAGGGTGAAATTTTTGAAATACTCACAGATAGTAATCAACTCACTGATAGTAAATAGCAAATATCAGTTTACCTATTTTGACTGAGTTAGTTGTAGTTTTAGAAAAGTTTGATATTATTAGCAAAAAATTACAAGGAGTAAATTAGATCTATTAATACATGGAGACAGATTTGTAAAAAAAGTTGTGAGGACAATCCAGCTATTCAGGGACTTAAACAATATGTATTGCAGGGGGTAACATTGAAGTTTGTTCCTAATTGAAGTATTTATCGCAAGACTACTGCTTGGCTTTTGAATACATTGATGTCGATCTCTGGTATGCACTTTGCTTAACACATACTCTTAAAACAACAGTTTTCTACAGTGTTTTAGGATCAATAATAATAATAATTTTTATTTACTTGTTATTAGAATTAATAAAAAAAAAAAAATTATTCGTAAGATTATTAGATTAATAAGACTTACAGCAATTGGGGTTTTTCTGCACTATTTCATAAGCGCTTCATGGAACTGCAAATAAAAAGAAGTATACAAAATGATTATTTTAAACTGTTTACATATTAGTTTTGTTGAAATCAATGTAAACGTATATATACAATTATATTAATATTATTAATTAATGATACTTAATCAATATGTTCTATCATTAAATGATATTACAGAATCTAAAAAAAGATTTTCCTGTGTGTGTTGGGTGTTGATTTAATTAGTAAGTACAACACAGACCAGGTACATACATATGTACATAATGGCACATTTAAAATATATAGATTAGAAAAATGCATATATTTTTGGGATACGTCCAAAAAACTTCTTATAATTCTGGTTTCATGGTCGTAGAACGTGGAGGAAATTAACATTTTAGTAAACTATATAATATCGTAAGTTAAGACCCACAACCTATATACCCATTTGAAAATAAAAAACATAACCGAGTATTTACACAAAAGTTAAAATCTTTGTCACTTTAAGTTTAAACTTAACTATATGCCGACACTTCAATTTAAGGGACATTGCTTAGATATAAATAGTTCATTTTCATCATATAGTACATTTAGTTCATTTTCATTAAATAGTTCATTAGTTCCGCTTTTTTACATTTCATTTTTAATCAAAACGCCTTTTCGGCTGACCATACACTTGAATCCCGCGAAAGATCCGTCATCAGTGCTTTTGGAACCATAAGCAAAACTTGTGGATATGCAGAAAAATTGAAATTTAGTTGTAGTTGCCAAAAATGATGACATAATGATGACTAATAACATAAATATGTTGGCAAAATATTACAGAGTTATTGTTTATATTTCAGATTGAAAAGAATTTGAATTGAATCGCCTGTTAACTAATAAAGCACCCACGTTCTTTCTTCAAAAGCCATCCTCTACTATATTTATTAAATTGAAGCCAATTAAAATAAATGCGGCTTAAATAATTATGCGCGTGCATTCATCAAACTCATATTATTGGTTAAAATCTCATAACCCAGAGCACGTTTAGGTATTACGGACCTCAAAACAAAGTATGTAAATAATCAGCTTAAGAAGAAAATTAGCTGAAGTCAGTGATAGCAGCGCAAAGTGTGCAGAGGCAACTCCCTCTGAGTATCTCTATGATATTGTGAACAAAGGTGATTGTCCCCCTCACAGTATGACATAAATAAATAAACAAAGCACAAATATCAAAGCATTTATTGTTTTTATTCCATCATAAATTAATAAAATTTAATTCACATGTTTTTGAAAATTGTTAAGCTAAAATTTTAAATACCTTTTAATTTTTACTAATTTTATACAACTTAATATGGTCATAAAAATACAGCAATAAAGTAAATTATGAAAAATTTTGAAAAAATTACAAAATTCTTAACAACTTAGATACAAACTATTAATCAAATTATCCATTTTACCAAAAGGTATTGTAAATTGATAGTAATAAATGACGCTATTCTATTTATTCTGGAATATAAACATAGCTTAGATATGACCGCTGCAATTCTTAAAACGATGACAGTTCAAAAATGTATACTAAAAAAAATTTAATTTTTAATTTACTGATAATTTTACTAAATTTTAAATTAACTTTTACTTTAAAAAGTTTTAAGAAATTTTTAAATTTGCCAATTTCACATTTAGTTGCTCAGAGAAATACGATTGGCGATATTCGTACAGGTTATATAGAACGACATACAGCAAAGGTGGGTCTGGCTTATCAAAACAGCTGTATATTGTGTTCGTAAAGGGTCGCGGAAGAGATACCAGAAAATCTGTTATATTATTCTTTAGACATAAGTATATGGGTGTCCATTTCTCCCCATCTTGTAACGAGGAATGTGAAACGTGTAGCTAAATTCGATTTCTTTCCATTCGGAACGAATATAAGAGATGCTATAAGAAGATAAATCTAGATCTAAATTAAGTTGAACCAAAGATCAGCAAAAACACACGTATAAATAGGTAATAATCACATATTTTATAGCTATAGATTATTTTTCAAAAAAGACATGCTCAAAATAAAGTAAAATCAGTTATTTACAGATATATTTAAGCTATGGTGGATACGGCAACATTAAAACAGTCATGGTCAGCTGCGGTGAGAGGTGTTATGATACAAATTATTGATTCATTCAGCAACGTTCGACTACAATTTAATATGTCAATCCGCGCAACTGCAGCATTCACGTAAGGTTGCACGAACGCTGTAAATATCTTACACTTACACCGCTGGCTTTTTACGAAACTTACGCTCTATAGGTCGCTCATACTCCCCGTGCTTCTGTATTGCGCAGAAGTATGGACGTTATCACAGAATGATGAAGCAGCGCTCATGAAATGAAACTTTCTTTCATTTTATGAGATATTGTGTAAAAATATTATATTTTTATACATATTTAGGATTGTTGACTTCACTTGTAAAACTAGCAAAATTAGTATTGAAAAATATTAAATATTGCTCTAATATTCCAACAAAATCTTACAATTCATTTCTTATATGAAGAACGATTCATTAACTAATAGTACGTTCACACTGGTATTGCTTCATTATAATATCACTATTCCCTCAACTATTGTTCAAGCTAGTTATTGAAATATATTTTTTATTTTTTCTTAACTTTATTTTTATATATTGAAGTATAATGTATAATGCTTAAACATTTACATATATCACTGAAAATGTGCAATGAAATTTTGGACTTATCACTTTGAATCCTAATAAAAGTCATTTATTACAATAACTTTTAGTTACAATTACAAAAACTTCAACTTAAATATATTACATTTTTATAAACTAAAATAGGTAAAGCGAAAATACAAAAAAAAATATATATTCATAATATATGACTATACATATATACCTATAAAGTCATTTTTTGACTGCTACATATTGTATGTACATATGTATATATAATAAAGTTAAAAAACAATAACATTTAAAAAAAAAAATATATACAAGTAATATTCATAAATTTTGCAGTTCTTTCTTACTTGTCAGTGATAAGTTAGAAATTTTAAGCAAAAATTAACAGTTAAAGGATATACATTAACAAAACTGAACTTCATAAATAAATTGAAATTATCTGAAAGTTAATTCCTCATCACGCATTTTCTGTTATCACATCAGTTTCACACAACTTGGAACTAACTTCAAGATAATTTTAGCTTACGGAGCTTCGGCAAATATTTTGATTTCTTGGAGTATTCCAGTCATATGATTCTACGTTTTGTTATACATATATGGCATGTATATTCAACATACATTTGTTATATATATATATATATGTATATTATTATAACCAAAGAATCATAAAAACCTAATTGAGCATTTCAGTTTAATATGTGTTCGCAGCGTGAAGTGTACACAATTTTGGTATTAAAGACTTTACTATATTTTGCAAAAAATATAAATAAATTATAGATACTTTTTTTAATTAAATGTGCAAATACGGTGCAAGTATCTATCTGTTCAGTGAGAATGCAAGTTGTTAATTAAAATTGTTTTGTAAAGTGATTTTTGTGCTATAATTTTATATGATCAGTGGCATATATCATTACCAAAAGCAAGCATCAGCAAACTCTACGAATGTCGTTAGTTTTAATTAAAAAAATATGAATGAATGCAAAATTAAATTGCAATGAAAAGCTATCAGATACAAATTCATCACCTAAGCGTTTTTTTGTGCGATATGTGTATGCATTTTCAGTTGAAGTCAAAATAAAATGTTCCAGATATTGGCTGATTGCATGCTTACTACGAGTATTCCGTATGACATTTGTTTAATTTAACAAAATTTTCATTAAAGTAAAACCTGAAATTACTTGCGTAGCATATTTACTACACGTAACTAGATCATGGCTATCTAGTATTGCCATCAAGTGACCGGTTATAAAGTTGTTAATATTGGACTTTAAGTAGGAAAACGAGGAACTATTTGGATACAATGAACTATTGCATTTTATATTTAGAAAGAAAACAAACCATATTTAAGAGAGACCAAGCACAGTACTCTCCACTTAAACCAAACTATAATGGACCGGAAAAAATTGTTGTATATATGTAAAGACATTTCTTAATTTTATCAGTAATTTATCAGTTAAGGTAATTTTTGAATTATTGACTCACATGTAACACACAGACCAAGTCACACTTAAGTGCGGTGTGAACTATCATTTTTGAATGTCATTCAAGCGCTCTCTCTTGCTCAAAATTAATCTAGCAACCGAAATTGAACACGCTCACATCCAAGAGTTCAAAAGTTCAAGCAAAATGTTTGAAGAATAAGGGTGTTTACGCACGCTGCGAATATGTTAGTGCAACCACGCAAAAATATGCTCTTGAATGACAAAATTTTGGTGAGCATGCCAACATGTTGGTTGCGTGTCATTCAAAGATGCAGACTACCATTTTTGAGTGTCGTTCTTAGGTTTTTTGTCTTGAATGACAATCAAAAATGTCACCGTGCTCTAAACTGCGCTCTTAAAATTTGGAATTTTGACGTCCTTGCCGTAATTTCATATTTATGTTAAAAAAATTCCATTCCTATTTTCAAAAGCAGTCACTGTATAACTCAATTAAAATACTCAGTAAGAATACAGGAAAAAATGAAAAAAAAAACAAATTAATTAGAGAATGCAATTTTATTAACGTTTATGATTTTATTTAGAATATGTTATACTTAGAAAATGTAAGCCTGAGCTTATTTTCACTAACTAGAAAATTATTTCATTGATTTTGATCGTTTCGACAATTTCACTTCACTTGTATTTCATACTAAGTCAGTTGTCTGACAATTTTTTGGTCAGACACTTACACTCCAAAATATATATACGGACTATTAAATCAACAAATACAACTAAAGATGACTGATGGACGGTTTTATATTTAACATTACCAAGTTTATTTTTGTTTTCATTTTTGAGTCGTTACTTCGAAAATGTTTATCTATCATAAAAGTTAACTAAAAAATTTGACTGCTAAGATATATTACACCATAAAAAGGTTAACTGCAAAATTAT